GGAAAAAAAAAGAAAAATATTCAAATTGAAGTGCGAGAGTGTGATTTCCGGCCATCTAGAGATGCCCTAATCATAAATTTTTTTTACCTCAGCCGCAACCATGGTGGGGCTGAGGTGGGTGGTTCCTCGGTCTGTGTCCCTCCCTAGTTCATCTCTCTCTCTCTCTCTCTCTCTCTCTCTCTCTCTCTCGAATTCCTGGATCTGCTACTGTTGATTTATTATATAATTATTTTGCGCGTCATGAGGTCAATCGGGACAACTTTTCACCCGCGAGATGAGACAACAGGCTAGGTAGCCTGGGTTCCAGGTCTCACTTTTGGGTTACTCATTATTTATTTCACTTAATGCGGGCCATAGCTAATTTAATTGGCGTCCCATACTCGATTTTTTTTTTCGGATTCGGATTCCGTCTCTAAATTATCTTACTCGTTGATGGCGCTGTCCAGAATAGGCTGCTGCATGCTGCTGGAGGCGTGTACAGTAGGACCTCCTGCCAGGGGCGGCGGGGAGATAGAGAAGCATTTATTTAGGCCTATACCTGTTGTGTAAGTATAGTATTAATTTTCCGAATATTCAAATGCAAAGAATTCACTTTTCAAGGTAAACCACCACAACACAAAATCCACTTAACCTCATATTGCCTGAAAATAAAACATGTATCATCCATAGGAACGTTGACACCCGCAGGGCTCTGGTTATGGCTTGTAGTTTTTCTTTTATCTGTTACTATCTATTATATTATTATGTTCTTAGTTTACAGAAAATGGGAATTTTATATTGCATGGCGATGATGAAGATGTAGCGATCTACCCGAACCCATCGGTGAATGGTTTTCAAAACAGTGACACCAGGAACATCATTGCAACATTCTGGGCAGATGGTGATTTGAGCAAAGACATTGGCGATGTATTTTACCATGTAAGCCTACCAATGTCCACTTCATTTTTATTGCTTTACACTTAATAAATGATAACTGGTTATAATAATTATTCTAGCATTCTATTATAACATTTCCCAGATTGAATCATATTCCAAAAGCACTTTACCTGATTTTTAATTATTTACCTGACACTTTGCTAGATATCCCCACAACACTCACTAATATATAATGACAAGCTTGATCACCTTCAAGTAAAAACATCAGGACAAAGAAGAAATTTTTATTTGCCTTATTTTCTTATACAAAATTATTAAAGGTGTTATTAAAATTTATTCACTTAAGTATATGTGAGCTGTCATGACCAAAATGAGTCTTGTGGTACGTCGGGTCTAATCGATATATTTAAGAAAATATATTTGAAGTGGTATTTTGACAAAAATTGGGTTTCAATTTCTCTGATAAGCTTAATATTTATATTTCATAGTAGCAAGAGCTCGGAGTTGAGTTACCTAAGGCAATCATGTTTTTGAGGCACAAAGTTATTTTTTAAGACATCTGAACTTTAAAATGATCTTACTCCGGTTTTACTCAACCTTGTAACAAGACCAATATAAAGCTTATATGTTCATCTATCTAAATCTATCAATAACTCATTTTTCATTTTTCGTACCGCAAGACTCATTTTGTCACGATAGCTCACATATTTCTTTTAATACACGTCAACCCCATCCCACACTTCACTTTTCCCTTGATGCAATACCCTTCACTATTTGTTTTCTATGATATTCCAATTATCTGGCTTCCAATTAACAGGTTTCCAATTAACATCGCAACGAGATTTGATTGACAGATAAACCGACTAATCAGCGAGCGTCATTTAGTCACATGATCAAAAACTTTTTTTCATAAATTTTAATTTCCTTAAGGCCAATTCAGACAGCGTCGTACGACGCAGCCCGACGCGATTTGTTGTCGCGTCGGGTCTGTGTTAGTTAAACGCAGACGCGATGGTGTGCGTTGGCGGCAGTCGCGTCGTAGAATATTAAACATGTTTTAATATTTCTCACGACGGCTTAAGACTGTCCCCGACGATAAATCGGGTCGGGCTGCGTCGGCTGACGCTGTCAGAGTTGGCCTTTAGACAGCTGGTCGTCAACGCGAAACATACAGTACGTGAGCCTAGTAGTTAATACTCATTTACACGAGCAGTGCGCATCAGTGACTTGGCCTTTGCCGACAACGAGGTTGACTGAATGCGGCTTTTCCCTCTTCCCTTGGGAGCGAAATACAGAGGCTTCTACAACAATTTCCCGCCTGTTCCATGAAATAGATTAACACTATTAATATATGATTCATTTGCATGCCGCCTACACTGAATTCTCTTTCTTAAAGAAGGTTGATAGCAAAGAAAATGTTCGCCAACTAAGTCTAGCCGCCATTGTCTTAGGTTTTCCTGACTTTGTGGGCGGGGCTTCGCTTCCTTGCCGACATGTCAATTGCTACACGTTTATCCTCCTCTGTCTCTTTTTTTATATAAACTGCGTCTCTTTTTTTATATATAAACTTCTATCGACCAACTGCGCTAAGCCACTTGCATCATTTATTTAATTAATTATTTATGTTTTTCTTAACTATTTACTCCTGTGTATAAGAGACAGGTGTGTGTGTGTGTGTGTGTGTGTGTGTGTGTATATATATATATATATATATATATATATATATATATATATCTTTTTCTTTTCCTTTTTTTTTTAAACAGAGAAACACATTCCAAGCTGTTCTTCTAACCGATGGACTTTACAGCTTTGCAATAAATTTCTTCGAAGAACGACGTATGCTTTGGGATCCCAATCTAGATTTCCTAAAAGATGCTATTTTGGGATACAACATTGCTCATTTTGGTTATGAAAACTTCCAGTTTCAACAACCGCTTGTAAGCAATGTATATAGGCCAGATCTGGTGCTAGGGAATACCAATGAACTTGGTCAGTGGATTTTCCGGTTGGAGGACAATACAGAGGACACTGTCAACCCCAAAAAGCGGTGCTTAGATTGGTATATTGAGGATTCATCAAGTTTCTTTAACCCAATTGGTCTGGGAACCTGTCCATGTACGCTGCTTCAGGCTCTGAGAGATGGCAGATATCGTTTTCAAAGTACAATAACAATTGCGTCAACCCCAAGTTACATCTTACCTCTTCTGGATGATCTAGAGATATCGAGCGATCTGTTTGTAACTGTGGTAACGCTCATAGACCGCGGTAAGTTACAGAAAATATACTCAATATTAAGGATATTTTACCCTACTAAAATTTGTTGCTTTCACACCGACTAAATAGAAACCTTTTTAAAAGTCAATATGCAGACAGTGTAGATACGGGCAATGCAACCGTGTAAGAAAGCTGACATATCACAATCCGATTTATTCAATCCAACAAAAAATAATGTACGGTATTACATACAAATAAGTATTTCAAATATAAAAACCTACCATATGTTTAAGCAATACATAACATACATGTATATGGCACTGGTGATCTTAAATTTGTATTGGTTAGCCAGCATGTAAAAACTCGTCAACGCAGTAGGTCCGTAGTTATCTTTAGAGCTAATGTCTTCTGACTTGCCTTTAAATCAGAACAAATATTACCATAACCGTATCAAATGAAACATAGATTGTGAACGGTCTCTTTGCCATAAGATGCATTTTTGTGTGAGAAGTGGCCTAGAATTAGATTTCATGTACATTACTGTATAGGACTAAGATGTTATATAATATAATATATCAACTTTGTTTATATTTTTTGGTTTCCCCTGCAGCTAAATACTATGCAATCTGCTTCCAGTCGTCGACATTTAATATCTATTTATCTGGTACCGAATGCTGTTATCGAGGGAACCGTTTTGGGTTTTTCAACTCAGGTATTTTAAACGGAGGCTACAATGGAATTGGAATGAGCAGTTTCTCATTTCGTTATGGCTACACATTCGGACATTCGTTTCTTCCGTATCAATATGTCTACCATATTTGTAAGTTGCAAATTCATAGCCATGTATGGCTTTAATTAACACACATAGATCTTGTTATACTGTACCTAAGTTTTACACAAACAAATTATCTTCATGGAAATCACTCACTGATGTTGCGGACGTACCCGGTGCAGACCATTTGGGCTGGCACACATGGAAGCCGCAACGCGAGAATGACTAGGCTGGTCGTTTTCAACAGCGATCCACACAGACTACAACAACAGCCTAGGTAAATCAACAGTTTCACGTCAAGTGTTGTCACAATGCAGAGGTGCATTCTATGGCTGTCGGCCATTCTGCAGCAAAAACGGTGTGAGTTACGAAAAACACGTACACACGAAATAGTACCACTATGGGGCTTAGAGCAGAGTTTGTGTACTTAGTCTGGATTTGAACCCATGACCTTAAATTTGGGTGCTCACTGCGCCTGACCGCGATTCTGTGAGGAGGTGGATTCATTGGGCATTGGGCGCTGTGTGTGCCTGGCTTAATATCTAAAGCATGCTTCTCAACCAACAAATTATAATTCTGCTTTAGCTTCAGTTTTGTTTAAATTTTTTTACTAGCTTCTGATCTCATGTCTCAGTATTATTGCTGCTATGCCTCTGTTAGTGAAGACCTATGCCAATTGTACTACGAACGCCGGCCTGCGGCATCTTGCCAGTTTTACAGACCTCCACAGTTGTGTAAGTAATATAAAATTTGCAACAATTAACATTGAATACTTTATTGCATTCCGTCATATGAACATTATGTTTATGTATATACTCACAAACACTTTATTTGTCACAAAGACTTCATAGTCAGTATTTAGTACAGGAATGACTAGTATGACAGCATTAATGCTTGCGTCGTTGCTTTCTTCTCTTCTAAAGCTTGGTGCTGGGGCGATCCCCACATAGCCACTATCGACGGATACCAGTACACATTTAACGGTAAAGGAGAATACATGTGCACCGATATCAACAACGGAATGTTTCAGTTGCAGTGCCGTATGTCGGATCCCATTTCTGAACCAGATGCAGATGCGACCGTCTTCAGTGCATTTGTTGGGAGACACACTGGAGAAAGTGCCACTTATGTACGTGTCTGTATAGAAAAATCCAATTACCAAAGGGCGTTCTCTATTGACGCCGTCATTGTTCTGGACCTTCTTGGGGTCTCCGGGGTGCATGTCATGCCCTTGTACGGTGGTGCAATGTATTTAGAGTAAATTACGGTGGAAACAGCATAGTTATACTTTGATTTCAATATTTACATTTGTAGCAGATGATGCTTAAGAATACCCCACCGGAAGTGCACCCCGTCTATGGCGTCTGCAGACGGAGAATAATCATTATAAATGAATCAGTCTATACTTTACCGAATTGTCTGTTTAATGAAGTAACATGCATATTATGAACAAACAGTTTGACAATTGTTGCATTACATTGAAAATATTCGTTTTGTTATGATTGTTGGCATACTGTTTGGTCATGTCATTACTGTATATGAAAAGATATTGCCTTTTTCGTTACTTTTCTTATTTTTTTTTAGAAAACGTGATGTTTTCGGCCATAGTCATGGTATCCCTAATTATCACTTTTCACGAATTTACATATTTTATATTATTGTTTATTATCAAAGAGATGGTCTCACCTCAAAAAATAATTGCCACTGAATGTCAAAGGCAACTTGACATCTAAAATGCCGCTACTGATTTTCAGACCACAGACATCCACTACTTAAAAACCCAGTACTGTATGCCATAAGGAACGCAGTGGCGTAGCTACTGGTAGTGCAGCCAGTGAAATGCACTGGGGCCCATGGTTATTTGGGTCCCATTCATAAATAGACTTGAAAATATTAATTTAAAATAATTTCCAACTTAATTTTGAAGAAAAAACGGCCAGCGGGCCCTTCAATAATATTCTGATTTAGAGTAGTAATTATTGATTCAGTGGTGTATTCAAGGGAGCCCCAGTCAGTCGAGGCCCCAGACGGACGGACCGACCAAAACCCCCCCCCCTTATTTTTTAAAAATTATAAAAAAGATGGGGAAAAGGAAATTATATTCATTATATCATAAGTCTGAGAGTGCCATTGTTATAATCATAACATTTCTTACCTCCCCAACCATGGTGGTGCTGAGATGGTCTTTGTCCTCCGCCTGTGAATATCACTCCCTGGCCCCTCTATTTCGAATTCTCTGATCTGCCACTGCAATTGTTTAATTTTAGGTGCCACCAATTTTCTTGATTAGGTTAGAACATTAGTTTAGAATATACTCCTATTAATATAGTTACAAATCTGATTGTCATTAGTATTTATTACTAACCTATGCCTTTAGGAGTAGGGGTAAAAGAAGCAATTCTTACGATGAATTTTCAGAGAACTTTATTGCATCAAAAGGCCTGGCAATTATTCTTGCACTGGGAACTTTTCGCTCCCAGCTACGCCGTTGAAGGAACGCCATGGCTGCAGATCATGGGGTTGGGAAAGAGAGGTGGGGAGAGTAACAAGTCCCCCTACATATTTTTAAGGGGAAGTTGGTCCCCACTTTTCAACAGCAATGTAATTCCATGTCAAGAAGACGCCTGAAAGTTGTTGAACTGCATAAATGCCTATTTTAACAAAAGAACGAGTACATGATGATGAATTTTAATTCAAAAGTGTGTCATTTCCAGCAATCTAGAGGTACTGTTTCTTCAAAGTGTCACGGTTGTGACTCCATGGATGTCAACTCCCGACTGTCACCCCTCTCTACCTTTCAAAACGGACCTGAGCCCATACGAAATGCTGAAAATGATTTATCTAAAATTATCTACATCATTATATTATGTATTAATCTAATTGTAGGTTCAATTCTCCTTAAGTGATAACGGAACTGACGTCAGTGTTCTTGTTAATGGAACTGAATCAATATCACTCGATACACTGAGGAACGGTAAGACAAAATTTTATATTAAAGTTTAATCACCATTGGTTCTCTTGTTGGTTAGTGTTTTTCATCACATCAAATGCAGTGGCTTATCCAAATGCGGGGGGGGGCACCCCCCCTTCGAAGCAAATAAAATTAGGCTAGGCTTATGCTTATGCATATGCTGTCACGGTTAACGTGTATTCGGGAATCAAGAAGCAATATTTTTCAGTGGGCGTGGCCACCGAAAATAAATTCCACGCCCCCTCATATGTTGGTCGCCCCTATAAGCCCCCATTTTAATACTGCTAGATACGCCACTGATCAAATGGCTCTGGCATGTGTTTGGTTAATGTTGGGCATTCCCTGCAGCACACGATGGTTGTCCATCTCGACGAGTGCGCAACGGATCGATACGATTACCACCGACAATCAACAGACGACGTCGCACCATCTAGCGCTCACAGCGAGTGAAGTTGGATTCGTCGTGTGACGGTCGACGACGCAGTGAGTGCCCAGCTTTAATCAAGAATTGTATTAAGGTATTCATGACTGGATGAAATTTGAAGGCTCATTTCACAGTATCAAAAATTATAATGTCGTGTATTCATACTGGATTTGTTCAGCAATTGTTTTATAAAGACAAAAAGAGATAAGGAAAATAGAAATACAAATGATGAGTAAAATTATAACTTAATAATGTCATCGTCGTTTTTCTTTGTTTTAACAGGTACCTATTCTTCCATGTCAGATCCTGGTTTTTCATTATTTATCCAAGAGCCAACTAACCTTACGTCTGGAAATGAGAGAGTCTACGCTTCTTGGAGCACCGGCATTGCATTTGGAGTTTCTGTCACTGAACAGATGTTAGCTATTGTAGTAGAGTTAGCTGCAGAGTACCAAGGACAGACTGCTGGCCCTGTCTCTTATACACATCTAGATGTGTAAAAGAGACAGGACTTGAAAATATTAATTTAAAAAAAATATATGAAAGCCTTTATTTAACGACATCAAGTGTGATTTGTGCATCATTAAAACCACTATCATGCATAACGGCATATTGGAATGAGTTAGGTGATATAGATATTGACAATAACTTACTTTCAACTACAAACATAGCTTTTCAAATTTTGGTTTTAGGTGTCTGGAATGATAACAAAACAGATGACTTATGCTCCAAAAGTAATGTGTGTCTGGATACAAGTACGAACCTATCTGAATCTGATATATTTGATACCTGTAACACATGTGAGTTAATGTGCTTGCTTTAACGCGAACGGTACTTAAAATCGGAAGATCTCGAAATAGATATCCTCTTGGATATTGTTGCTTAGGTGGTATAAAACAACAGCGTCGTGTTTGTGAGATACTGTATGTGGGTATTCCTGGCCTGTTCTGATTGGTCAGTTTCAAAGTTTGCGGAAAAGTCCATTCTTACCATGAAATTGGTCGTTTCTATTTTAATTACGGTGATTAATTACGATGATTATATAAAAATATCTGTAAAACCCCATACCACAATACCATTACTTTTGCCTAGTTCAGACTGGTGAATAAATCCGGCTCAACTCACCGGGTTTATCCACGTGCCAGTCTGAACTAGGTGGCTTATCTCTAGCCGGGCTGTGTTCCTATAGTAACTAGGCCTGGCGTGCCACTGTGTTTAACTTTTCTAAGCCAGGCTTAATCGTTGCCGGGGGTCTGGCATTGACTTTGGGTAACAAAATGACCAATCATGATTCAATTACGTACGCAGTGAGCTAGCTTACGTTTCGCGAGCAGTGTTTCAAAACTTGTTTCCTGGTTATGGTTGGTTCATTATTATGCAAATTCTCGCGCCTGGCTAATCCTGCTAGTCTGAACGCCTGGCAAAGTTAAGCCGGTCTTAACGTTGAGTCAGGCTTAACTCAAGCCCGGCTTATCTCCAAGTCTGAACATAGTCTTTAGTATTTATATCTTATCTACGTGGTGTACCTCAAGCATTTAATATACTTATATCTTACCATTATTAAGTTAAAATTACAACATATTTTTGACAACCTATTTCCATTCATTTTTTAATGTAAAATTGATAAATAATAATTTTAAAAAATCAACTTTCAAATTAGGGAGGCTTACAGAGGAAGAGTCAGCATTTGTCTACAAGGAAGGAGAAAGTTACTCGGATGTTAATGATGAAAGTTTTAGGCCAAAATTTCTAGATGAACTGTTAGATACAGCAGAACCTGCTTTACTAGATGAGGCCAACTCCGTTTGCGGCAACAATCAAGAGTGTTTGTTTGATGTTTTAGCTACGCAAAATATAAATATCGGTGAAAGTACGAGGATTACAAACGAAATAAATAGCAATGATAGAGAGATCTTAGGTAAGTGGAAAGCATTTCATTAAAAAACCTTGTTGGAATCAGGGAGTAGTATTCATATAATTGGCTCTCTGTTTTAATGCACCTGGTATCACGTCATCCCTTGATCTACTATCAAGTAACATCACACCATCCCTAATAATGGTGATACCGTGTAACTGTCAAGTTGCTTCACATATGGCCTGTCTTAGTTTATTTGGCATTACTCTTATAATTATTTTGCTATACAAATTGGAAAAGATTATTGTCATCATTATTATTATTATTATTATTATTATTATTATTGTTATTGTTGTTGTTGTTGTTGTTGTTGTTGTTGTTATTATTATTGTTGTTATTAATATTATTATTATTATTATTATTGTTAAAATTATTTCTATTGTTATAGTTATTGTTATGATTATGATTATGATTTTTTACATTAATAGAAAATATACCACCAGTGATAAATCAAATTATTGATATGAGCGAGGAGAGTGTCTTAACTGATGGCTTCAAACTTAGTGTGCGTGTAAATCAGACAATTGTTCTACGAGTAAACGCATCTGACGAGAATGAGGGTGACGTCTTAAACTATTTTATTCAAAACGGAATTCCTGGATCAAACATAACAAATGAAAGTATGTATTCCAATGTCACATAAAATACAATTTGTTTTATTTGTGTCTATGAGTTTACCTATCGCCTAATATCATTAACGCATGTAAAATGTGCAATTACACACACACATACATCTACAGAATAGATTTCATCTGTATTGACTTCGAAATCAATTGCCTGCAATCGGTTTCAAACTTTAAATGAAAACCCCAGGAAAATATATATAAGATTGAGATTAGAAATGAATAAGACAATGTCCACAACCTGGATTTCAACTTTGGTATCCAGCCATTGTTTCTCACAGCATTGTTATTTTTCAATACTTTTTAATCTTTATATATCAACTTCGGTCTCCAGCTGTATATAAGCCTAACAGACACTTAATAGGCTAGTGCCTTCCAAAATAATTATAATATAACTTTAGATTTTATGTAATGTGTACTCCATGTTTAATATTTGAAAAATGATTCATATTTATGAATAAATCTTATTAAATCGTTCGTTGTTTAATGAATTTGTCTACTAATATATATTCTCAGCTGGACTTTTCACTTGGAAACCAACCTCAATTGATATAGTTGATCTAGTATTTGAAGTCAGTGATGGGACACAGAATACAGCTAAGTACATGGAAGTAAAAATTTGCGCATGCGTGAATGGCGGCGTGTGTGACTATGACACTCTTGTAGAAGGATCCGATCTTCCAAATAACAGATTTGCGGTACGATTAATACCCTTTCTAAATCACAGTTTTAATGACGATCCGTTCAGACTGCCACCGACAATCGTACGACACAATGAGTGCCCGGGTTTACAATTACTGGCCCAGGAACAATTGCGTGTATTTAACAAATAAGTCATACTGAACGGCTAAAAGAAAAATCCTTTCGATTTCACTATCAATTGGGGTGGGGAGGGGATCATAATGTTCTGGCTAGTATGCGTATTCATATTTGTGTTGTGTATGAGGTGGAACTAAAGATTCTGATTTCATAATGTTATATGGACCTTAAGCATCTTGCAGTACATTTTATATATTATACATAGTAAGCTGTATACACAACATTACACAGTAATATTTTGATAAATGAAATATTAGGTTGTACAGTGTACCTGCTCACCTGCATGGACATCATTCGATTGTTCTGAAGATTACGATGCCTGCATGGAGGACCCCTGCTTTACTGGTGTTATCTGTAAAGACCATATGGCACCAGAAGTGAATGCAACGTGTGGTAACTGTCCCGCGGGCCTAGTGGGAAACGGTATTAAGTGCTACGGTATGTATATGACAGGGAGCTTTTGATTTGCGCGACGATGTGACACTGGATTGGATTCACTCATGCATGACCGTCTTACGTTCTCAGCACAAAGAAAGCCTAAATAAAAGGCTACAAAACGCATTATTGCAGCCCGGCACCTATCATCTGTAAAAAGTAATAGTAGAACTGAGCATAAAATGGTCATAAAACAGTGTATGAAGGTTTTTGGAAGTGCGCTGAAACATCAAAGCTTAGGTGCGGCCCTCGAAGAATCAAAATTTCACTTTGGCCCTCCGACATTTTGGGCCCCACAACCTATACTACCCCAAAAAACAACCTATACTGCCCCTATGTTTCATAACCCCTGCTCATGAATGCTAGTTTGCACAAATAAAAGTTACCCAGGGGCGGATTTATTTTTTTCGAAGGTAAAAAGAAAAAATTCATTGCCCAAAACGCCTCAGAGGTTATTTTCGGGCGTCTAGAACACAAAAATTTCATGGAGGGCATGCCCCCGGACCCTGTAGCCGGGTAGCATTATCTCTATCGGCCCCACACTCGGCCCCTTTCTGGCCACCCCCCTCCCCCGTCTTTTTGGACATTTCGGGATCCGTCCCTGTTACCTACCCCATTCTGCGATATACTCAATATTCATTTAACAAACTTTTGACTGTCAAATGTAATACACACATTGATGTGTGATCAGACCAGAATTATAAGCCTGTTGTACTTACCTAATTGTTGCCAATTTAGCCCAAAATTAATACAGCTACAAGGTTTACTAGGCCTACCACTAATTTCTGATGTGCTCTACCATAAGGCGTTATTTTGTTGTTTTTTCATCATATTTTCTTTCTACAAATTTGTCAGACTATGATGAGTGTTTAAACGGTCAAGACCGAATTGAGGGTGCTCTTTTCTGCGAACATACTGAGTTATGTGTGAATACATTGGGAAGCTACGAGTGTAGTTGTCAATCTGGATATGAACTGCATCTGAATGGAAAAGAATGTACAGGTAGAAATAAGTTCAAAAATGTTCATGCTTGGGGTGGATTAATTAAATTGCACTAGTTAAATTATTATCATTATTATTATTATTATTATTATTATTATTATTATTATTATTATTATTAATTATTATTATTATTACTGTATTATTATTTAATAAATAATCTTATACAATAGAAATTACAATACAGACATGGTAAAGTTAATATATTTAATTTAATTATATATATCAACTTTCCGTCACCCTTTCTCTCTTTCTAAAATATATAAAGGCCTAGCCATGGCAAGTTTCTATAAAAGCAGTGAAACAATAAATATAATGAACCTTAATTTTAGCAGTCGTGTTGCAAAAGTTGTAATTTTAATTTATTAGGCTCATTGTTTCTTCTAGGAAAATAAATTGTTCGAACGATTAAAATTGGAGTCATAGACTCTGTAGTTGTATTATAGTTGTGTGTATTATTTCACTCTGTGTAGGCCTTATAAATTGATAAGTAGCCATGCCTCTCTTGGCTGAAGTTGTTGTATGAGCCCGGTATTTAGCATCAACTGAGACTTCCAATATTACAAATGTTCATAGTTTTGATGATAAATACACACAAACATCACACAAATTTTAAACATGATTTAAACAACCGTATGACTATTCCAAATGTCCCTAGAGGCAGGTTTAGTGGCTGATACCGAAAGACGTCAAAATTCAAACATGGTTTTGTTTTACCATAATAATAATAATACAGTAATAATATTTATTTGGAAAACGCTTTTTTAACAGCAGCACACATCATCACATCAATGTTGCATCTAATATAAAACTATAACAATCAAAATCATTAAAACCAACAAAAACCAAAGAGGTATAAGTGTGTATGGTAAGTAATATGCTTAGTAACTTTTTTTTTGAAATTCATATTATTCAATCTTACGGTATTGATTGCGACAAAATATTTTCTTAAAAATTCATTATTATCCATTTGTCCATTTGTTGTTAAGTTGTCATTAATGTTGTTATTATGGTTATCATTATCATACATATTAATAATCTTATAATTAGGCATATTATTATATCATTATTATATATTTGTAGATATCAATGAATGCGATCGCTCTACGGATAACTGTGCCGCCAATGCTGAATGCAGTAATACTATAGGATCCTACAATTGTACATGCAACGAAGGCTACGCGGGCAATGGCATTGAGTGTACTGGTAGGCCTAATGATCAAAGATCAAATTAATTTATATCTAAGTTAATCTATATATAATTGTATGTTTATCAGTATAGCCCGGGTATTCAACCTTTTGAAGTTGGTGGCCAGTTTCAAGCTGTGGCGGGCCGCATTATTTTTTCCCCGTACAGTTAAGGCAGAAATCATAGAGGGCGCTATTTAAGGTCATTTAAGTGAACTGATAACATGAATATGCATGCTTGACTTCTCTTTCGCAAGTCGTGAAAACGTGGTCACTGCTTGTGGATGAAAGAATATGAAAGTTACGGCGTGATGTGGTTAGGCAAAAATCCCAGGTAGTCGGTCGTGTGTAGTCGACACAGTGAAAATTAATGGAGTAATGTAATAATATTTCTATGCCTAGACACTGTTTACCTACTGTAAAGTACAGCGTGGTCTTTGAATGTATAAAAAGCAGCGTTGAATCTTGTCTTACTTGAGTAGTATTAGTGTAAAGATATAGCACACATACTGCTGTAGTACTACTGATTCTGAAGTATATAAATGTTTAAAAATGCTTGGACAATTCTATGTATTGTTTTAATGTTGATTTTTCACAAATATTTCGTTCATATACAATATAATTAAAAGTAATAGGCCTAGATTTATATACAAGCATAATATATTATAAACATTAATTTTACCAAAACTGACGATATTGACTGACTATACGTACATGTTTGTTAAATGGCTGTCAATAAAAACAAATAATAGCTCATTTAAAACGATCAAAAACAGATAGGAATAAAAAATAGTTTTCACTGTTTTACAGACGGTTCTACAAAAAAATAATCATTATTTGTCAGCCAATGAGCCCTGCATAAAAATACAGCAAATACGCTCACTGTCTGTAAATTGACTTGGCTTTTTTTTTCGCATAAAATATGTTTAATTGTAAAATTGTAAGTTAACAACTGTGTCCGAATTATTCGTAATTTGTCTCCGAGAATATCCTTCAGCATCAGCGCATACAATTGCTGCAGCCAACGCGTCATATCTAAACCTATAACTATACTGATACTCAAATATCCAGATTCAATATAATGCTTTTTTGTACTTTCAAAGTCCATGCCGTACATACTGCGTCTAGTCATAGGAATATTATTACAATTCTAATCCATTAATTTCCACACTGTCTTGACTACCACAAGGCCTATTTACTAGATACACCACTGCACCATGGCGGTATAAAAATGACTGAACTATGTTTCGCGTAGGGGAGTCAGGCATGCATAATTCATGTCTGTCTTTTCACCAAACTGACCTAAAATAACGCCCTCTATAATTTCTGGCTTAACTGTATAGGAAAAAATAATGCTGGCGGGCCAACATGATTGTGTACTTCCACCTTTTTTCAATGACAGCCCACCCATTTTATTAGGTCTACAAATTTTCCTAATTGTAGGCCTATTATTACAATTGTTGTCTCTGGGGGGAAAAAACTTGCACCCTAGGTTCTTTTACCATACTACTAGAAATCTTCAGAGCAAAAAAAGGCGATTTAAGTACTAAGTAGGCTAGATCAAAACAATGGGCTCAGACTGGTTCATTTCGTTGATTACGAATTTTCGTTGAGTATTATTTTCATTTGACGGGTTCGTTAAATAGACTTCGTTGACAATGAAAGTTAACGTAAACCAGAGTTATCCACATGACCAAAAAAAACATGGCTGATTGGTGAGTTTATAAACAATATTTGCGTTAATATAACTTAAATTAAATTTTATAAAATAAAAATTATATCTACCCCCATGGAGTAAAAAAATAATTGTAGGCTAACAAAATTCAAAAACTGTATGAAATTTTTTTTTTTTACGAAAAACCCATACTACCACAAGTTGAAGCAATCTTGATTACGAAACGTGTATCGCAGTAACTATACAGCCATTTTGTTTTATCGAGTATTTACAAGTTTTCTATTCGACTGGTCGTCTTCGTTGAGTATAGGATTTCACCGTTGCGGAGGTGGGTGTGGTTTAACGAAGAACGATCAGTCGAATACGGCCACTGCCACTGTGGAAATTCCCGACGAGGAATATCCATAAAAATGCCCCACATTTACCTCAGACCCATCATGGTTGGGCCTGAGGTAAGCACATTTTTAAAATAGACATCCCTAGATGCCTGAAAATGGCACTCCTAAACTGTCAAAATACACCTTTATCAACTGAATATTTTCTATAGAATGACATGCGACGAGTCTGCTCCCAGGATTGGCCTACTAGCCGTTAACGTCGCCAATGGTTAGAAAACGTATCATATTAGCTCCCTCAGTTAATTCTTTATCCCTAACCCCATCAGTCTCCCCTCCCTTGTTGCTACGCTGGATACAGTGAGCTACACTAAGAAAAACTAAACTCTAGAATGCCAAAGTGGTCGATTTCTATTAACAGAAAAAAAACTTTTCTGATAAGTTCTAAAGATCAGCCGGGAAAAAATTGATTTATTTTTTAGCAATGTCACGCTGGCCGAATTCAAATCTTTGGCGAGCCAGAGTTGGCCCGCCGGCTGGAGGTATACCAGTGGTATATACGAATGAGTATAGTTTAGTTTCACTGTTCATGTCTCTCAGCTCTTAAAGTTAATATTTACTGTATGTACCGTTAAATTATGAAGGCAAGTATCTTAATTTGTTATTAATAACGAATTTTCTTTATCAATGACAGATATTAATGAATGTTTCACTCGTACAAACCCATGCAGCCTCACTGCTGACTGCTTTAACACCGACGGCTCTGTATATTGTGTTTGTAAAAAAGGATACTTTGGCAATGGAATTGTTTGTGATGGATAAGAGACAGGTCTTGACTACCACAAGGCCTATTTACTAGATACACCACTGCACCTGTCTCTTATACACATCTTGGAAAATTTAATATATTTAATTTAATTATATATATCAACTTTCCGTCAGAACAACGCTAGGAATACGCGCGCGTCTCACAAACACACGTGTTGTCCCACAAACGCACGTGTTTGCGTATATTTTAACATTGTCGTCTTGTGGGACCTTAGCAACAATATCCAGTGGGCGGGGCTTAGCGGAAAGGTCCATTGCCTTGGGTGATGGTAAAATTTCACAGGAAAGTAGCACAGGGGTAAAATAGAAAGTGAGAAATACAGGAGGCAAATACCCGGCGAGCAAATAGATGTGGCGGTAAGAACTGGAATATCCCTTAAAATAAGTCGACTGATGCCACTATGTTTTTTTTTTGTAGAAAATGAATATACCAATAGACTTATCACTACCAGCGTATACTGTATGCAGACACAGCCAGTGGAGCAGATCTGTTTTAAATTGTGGGGGGGGGGGGGTTGTGAGACCACGCCCACTGCCATGGTTAAAAATATTTGGGACGTGTCCCCCTTGATCATGTTTATGTTGGTTTTTTTTAGGGGCGTCTTCCGTTTGAGATTTTTTGGAATTAGTAGATGCTCTTGGATGACATCTGAAAAGAAGTTAAGCTTAAAATAGAAAGTGTATACGAAAGTATACATGTATACATGAGAAGTACACACACAAAATGAGTGACCATTTTTTCATGGTCACCGAAGGGGGTGGGGGATGGCTAGCCACCCTATTCACCCCACCCTCCCCCCAGATCTGCCACTGCTTTGCGGATAAACCCCCTTAAAAATATGTGGGGGACGTGTCTCTCGTTCCCCCCCCCCCAATGATCTGCGCCCATGTACATGCAATTGTCTGTCTAATAGTATCTAATAACAATAGCAGAATCTTGTGGTAAGAGGCCAGTAACACTTAATTATTTACTCATTAATTATTGTCAATATATAGATATTGATGAGTGCACTCTTGGTACTGATGGATGTCATCATGATTGCCTCAACACTATTGGATCATACAACTGCACATGCGCAGACTCCTTTTCCCTTTCTAATGACCAACATTCTTGTACACGTGAGTTACAATTATTTTTTTTACACGAACTATGTATAAAATCCAGTCTGCTTACGGACAACAGCATTTTAAAATTCATTGTTGTTTTGTATACTACAGCATTGGTAGGAATGGAATGTACTGGTTCAAACCCATGTGATTCGTCGGCTAATTGTATCCATGATGATCAAGGTAATCCAAGTTGCTACTGTGACAGTGGTTATCAACTGAGTAATAACGACAACGCCTGTGAAGGTAATATCTCAACTTCGATTAGCCTGGGTTCCAGGCCCTAAATCTGGGTTATTTACTTAGTAAACGCCAAATGGCGTCCCACACTCAAGTGATTCCTTTCGGATTAACCCATCTATTATAACTTATTCGCTCGTTGGCTTTCCAGAATCATAGGGATACAATAACAGAGGACCTGTTGGAAAATATAAATCTTAGATGTGTATAAAACAAAAACTAATACAAAACTAATAATTAGAAGTTCCTGCTCCTTAAACATTGCATTCTGTTGTGGATATTGGCGCTATATAAATCCTTGTTTATTGATTGTCTGTTTGATTATTATGTTACAGTTTTACTGTGGATGACAGAAGGTTTAAGGGAGGGATTCATTTTGGTACATTTTATGTAGACACGTGTTAACAACATGACGCAAACACTCATCAAAATAATTATACTTTTGTGGGAAAATATTTAGATATAGACGAATGTACAAACAGTGAAAACGCATGTGATGATACCGTTGGTGCATGTACCAATACGGACGGGGGCTATATGTGCAGTTGTCCGTCCGGTTTTGAGCTACAAAATGACCTTAGGACTTGTCAAGGTAAGCCTACTTTAACAAAGTGTTAAGGGACGTAAAGCACCTGAATATTTTGAATTGTGATGTTGAATGTACTTTCCATGGATTGATTAAGATCAGAGTTTACCGATTTTAGTTTATAAAAGTCGTAAAGTAATAATTTTCGAGAGATAAGGTAGGTTACTTACGGTATATCTAGTACTGTATACCGGTATGTACTATTGTATTACTCTGATATGTTTATTTTCTTTCCATACAGATATTAACGAGTGTTACAGAGTTACCTGTATCGCCAATGCCGAATGTGTCAATGTCAATGGACCTGTATACTATACTTGTAGCTGTCTTAATGGGTTTAATGGAACGCAGTGTGCAAGTACGTTTATGCAATGATTTCACTAACCGGTATCAATGGCGGATCCAGGGGTGGCAAAAAGGGCACCTCCCCTCTCCCACCGGCAGCAGCCAAAACAAAAACTGAAAGTGTGTAATCATTTAGATAAGAAATTAAAATGGCTGAATGTCTGCAGCTTACATGGGGTATAACCCACAGGATCCCCACAATAAGCAAATGAACATCTCTAATACCTTCATCTCCTGACCACAGACTATTTGTCCTTCTTTCATACAAATCTCATTTATATCATTATGGAATTGAATGCTATATCAACACCAACCACCTTTGCCACTAGCAATCAGGGTATTATTATCTTTGGCGGTCGTGTGTTTGATAATTTGTCCGGAGCAATTTAGAGTGACATTTTTATGTTGCTATTAATTTCCTATTTTTTTTTTTAATTTGGTTGTGAATTTTTTTTAGGCATTATGAAAAAAACTACAGTATGTTTCCATATCATGTTAAATATCATACGTTAGCTGTAACAATTCGTAGGTTAATCATTGGAGTAATGAAATAGATTATTTGAGGCATAAAATGTGAATTAATGTGTGTTGCAGATATTGACGAATGTACAGATAACCTACACGATTGCACTGGGAATTCCGAGTGTAGAGACCAAGAAGGCAGTTATGTATGCGTTTGTCAAATGGGATTCACTGGGAATGGAAGAATGTGTGTAGGTATGTTACAATTCACATGTATTCCTGGGGTGGCGCCATGATGATTTGCCCGACGGGGTGGAGGATGATGTCCCTGACGAAAAAAGTGGGCTTGGTCGGGCGTCGCCGAAAATCTCCCCAAAGGTGTGTCCACAAGTACTTCGCCCTTTAAAAATAAGACTATTTAGGGGTTTCGAAGGCTTATTTAATCGATTTTAGAGTAATAATATACCCTGCCCCCCCCCCACGGTGCCACCATGCTGTATTCACCTATTTTTCGGGCTCTATAATAAGATTTTTGAGTCTTCTTTTGCCCACCATAACTCATGAAATGCACTGCATATGTTTAAATTCATTATGACATTGTAGTATTAGTTGTCTGTTAACTTTTGAATGGCTATTTCAGTTTTTACACTCTTGTTCAACTATTTTGGTGTAGATGAGAACGAATGTTTGTCGATGGGTACTTGTCATAGCCTGGCAACTTGCAGCAATACTATTGGATCTGTTAATTGCACATGTCCGGATGGTTACAGCGGAGACGGCGTTACTAGTTGCACAAGTAAAGCCTGGTTTCCTTAAAATCGCTACACTGTCGCTACTGTGTCGCTACAGTGTTTTCAGTGCAATCGGCAATGCTCCCCGGCATCACCGAAGGCTGTTGGCGATAGCGTGTAGCGATTTTATGGAAACCAAGATTACCTAGTCATAATATTATCGATGGTGGTGGTTTTGTTGATGATGACGACGATGATGCTGATGACGATGATGGTGGTGTTGATGATTATGATGGTGGTGAATATGATAATGGTTACGATAATGAAGATAATAATAATTTTGTTCTTTTGGGGAAAAATTATCTCTTTAATGATGATGTTCAATCTGCATTTGACAGATATTGTAAAATATTTGCTAAAAAATCTTGGGATAGAAGATCAGATTTTAAAAAAGGGTTAAAGGCATTGTTGCTTTAGTAATACATATATTTCTCTTTTTTTATGTTTTCAATTTAATTTCTTTTATATACTTTTATAAATCTTTGTATATACTGGTATATGTATTTATGTGTGTATATATGTGTACGGTATGTATGTGTGTATGTATGTATGAGTATATATATATA